CCCCCCAACGCCCCTCACCGCGCCAGCACGTCCTGCAGGGAGGCCGACCCCCCAGCCGCCAGGGCCCCCTTGCCAACCACTTTCCCCCCCGCCGCGCCAGCACCCCGACTGCACCACAACCCGGCCTCCCAGCCGCCAGGGCCCCCTTGCAAACCAACCCCCTGTATCACGCGGGCCCCAGCTGCCGGCGCAGCAAAGACCATACGATGATCTGTCTGTCGTTTTGACTCCGCCCCCCAAAGCCCCTCACCGCGCCAGCACGTCCTGCAGGGAGGCGGACACGAAGAAGTACTGCTGCTTGAGGCGCAGCTCCTTGCCCTCGGGGGTGCTGTCGTTGGGGTACAGCACCGCGCTGATAGCACCCGCACGCTCCGCCTCCACGGTGGCCTGCGGAGGGGAAAAAAGAGTCACAGGGGTCCCCGCGGCAGGAGGGGCCTCGAAAAACGGTCGAGCCTGGGCGCAGCAAGGCGGCAATTCCTCCACATCGCACCCGCGCATGCAAGCGCACATCTCTCTCTTCATCCCTCCCTGATGCTCGCTTGCAAACATCTCTCACACGCCCACACACATGCCCACGCACGCTCGAACACAAACTCAGCCGCACTCACACGCCAGCCCCCTGCCCCCACCTGGTCGTACGCGCCGGCGTTGAAGGCCTCCAGGTCAAACTCGGTCAAAGGCTCCGCGTCCCACAGCCGCAGGTTGGTCACGGTGGGGGTGCGCCACCCGGGGATGGGGTTGTCGTAGGCCACGGCCACGACCTGCGGGGGGCAGGGGCGGCCCGTCGCGCGGCTTAGTGACGCTTTGCAGTAAAGCCAATATGAAACGACAGGTGTAACTATTTGGGCTTGGACCGTTATCAGCGACAAATCTTGGTGCCAACTACTGAGGACTGGTTTCGTTGTTCTCCATGGATGCGTTCCCACGAGCTCAACAACCGCCCAAGGTCCTGGCGCCCAAGGCTGGACAACATCAGGAGTGCTTGCTGGTGCACGATGTCGAAAGTAGGCCGACCGCTGCGACTGCCTCAGCAAGGCGGCCGCAGAGGCCGACTGCGGCGGCGACCGCGCAGCTGCCGGCAAAGGAGCGCATTCGATGCGCCCGCTCACCCAGAGCGCCCCCGCACCTGCTCGGCGGGCGTCCAGGTGGCGGTGCCGTCCGCGCCCTGCTCGGTCTTGCCGCCAAAGCCGATGGGGAACCGGATGTCGCCACGCTTGATCTGGGGGTTGGCGATGAGGAGGTCGTGCGCAGCAGCAACCGTCAGAACGGGAAGCTGCGGCTGCTCACGATGCTCGCGTCGTATGGGGCAAGCGCCCCAGGCGGCAGGCGCGCCGGGGCAGTGGGGCCGAGCTGTGTGGGAGGCGCCGCGCTGCGGACGAGCCGTTGCATGGCGGCGGCGCGCACCTCCCAGGGGTTGCCGTTGGTCAGCCAGATGTCAGGCACCTCCGCCTGGTAGCCGTTCTGTGGCGGTTGGGGGCGGTTGGAGGTGTGGTGGTTGCGGGGCAGTTGGTGCACTAGGTGGTGGGGGAGGTCGGATACGGGGCGCGCTTGAAAAATGCTGGCATGGTGGCCTCGAGGCCACGTCGGCACACAGGCCCAAACCCTAACACAAAAAAGCCTCATTTCAGGACGCCGGCCGCCCGAACCTGGGCGTGCCTCGCCACGTCCTTTCACCCCAGCAGCTCAGCTGCAGGCCGCCGCACGCTGCTCGACCTGCTCGTGTTACCGGCAGGCCCGTCATAGCCCCAGTTCCCCGACCATGGCCCCAGCACTCTCACGCCCGCAGCAGGCAGGTCGTCTCGCCCCTCCCTCCCCCACCTCCCCCCCAGTTCGCCCGACCGCCTCTTGACTCCCCGGCGCCACCACACAGCGAGCCCTCCGGCCTCATTCCCACCCCTGGAGCTCACGCAACTATCGCCACCCACCGCACCCCTGCAGCCCTGGCCGCGATCCCACCCCTGGAGCGCACCTCGATCAGCTGCTTGAACATGCCGTACTTGTACCTGATGCCGTAGCCCCACCCGGGCAGGTCCAGCGACGCGATGCTGTCCAGGAAGCACGCAGCCTGTCCGATTTTGTGCCGGGCAGGCGTGCGGCAAGCAGCGCGGCAGGCGCGTCAGGCTTGGTCCTCGAGGCTGGTGCCCGCGCCGGCGCTGCCTTCACAACCAACCCCAGCACTGCGTCGAGGCGGCCGAGACTGCAGCCGCGCCGCGTCGCGGCCTCCCTGTTCACGTGCGCGCGCGCCCTCATCAGGCGCCCCATTTCCCACCTGCCCCCCACACACTCGCATACACTCCCAACCCCACCCCTCTTCACACACCCCGACCCCCGAGCGCTCTCACCAGGCGCCCCAGGCCGCCGTTGCCCAGCGCCGCGTTGTGCTCCTGCTCCACCGCATCCTCCAGGGT